CAGCTGCAGACGACGGCCCCAGGTGCTCACGCTCCGGCGCGCAGCTGCGCCACCGGTCGGCCGCCCCCCAGAGGGCGTTCAGCTGCCTCTCCAGGGCGAGAGTGTAGCCTTTGGCACAGCAAGATGAGAACTTGCAACTTGAGAAGATGATGGTTACCAGCCCTGCATTGCCTCAGGGAAGAACAGGAACTACTCTACCATTCTTGAAGTGAAGGTACTTAATGAGAATAGGACAGTGTGGAATGGGGTAAGTGAAGAGAAGAGGATAGAGAAAGATAGCAAGTGAACAATAGAGAGACAGGACGTTAGTGAGAAACAGATAGGGCTTATTAACTGTTGATGATGACATGTATAGAATTCTCAACTGGATTGGTCTGAGAAGTGTTTCATGATGGGCAAAGTATTTTTACAAGCAAAACGAGAAATAGCAATTGACTGTTTTATAAAAATAATTAGAATAATAAAGATAATGATTGGGGAAAACAGAAAAGATATGGAATGTTGAAGTGGGGAGATTAATGTCTCTGTACTGACTGACGTGCATGGCATTCCCTTTTGAAGAAACAATGTAATACACTGTAAAGTTATATGTAATCCAATGTAATATGAAGAAGATAATGATGATAAAAAATAAAAAAAAGAAAAAAATGTAAATCACCTATAAAGGTACAATTTACATAAATGCATATAAAGGTTTTTGATCTACATAGCGTGAAACGATTATTATAGTTCAGCAAGTTAATCCGTATCACCTTCCACATTTACCATTCGTATGAGTAATACCTAAAACTTACTCTTAAAAAACGTTCAGTATATGGGACCAACAGATGGTGTAGCATTTACATCACTGGACTCCCACATGGCCAACTCTAGTTTGAGTCCTGGACCTGGAGGATTGAAATCACACCAGGCATGTGTGCATGCGTGCCCAAGATCCCAGGAAATGTAGAAGGCGTGGTGCGGCGATCGCTTCTGGGGGCGTTTACGTGCTTCCCCTCAATGTGTGTGTCTCTCTCTAGTGAGCACACACACCCTTAGGAGAAACCTCTTACAAAAAAGGAAAATGTTCAGTATACAATATCACTATAATTTTACTATTAAATCAATATTCATTTCTGGCTTATAATTCAAGAAATAAGCTTCATCGTAACTTTAAACAATAGTTTTGAGTCAAAGAAGTGTTTTGTTTTGCTTTTTTAAAGAATTTTTTGAGAGGTTTTTGCTATAGGGCGCGTGCGCTCGCCAGACAGAGAGAGTCAGAAAGCAGGAAATCACTCCCCAGGGGGTATGGCCACGCCGCAATTCCTTCTCCTCCATTCTCCTCTCGGGATCTTGGGCACGCATGCACATGTGCCCAGCGTGAGTTTAAGCCACCGGGTCTGGGCCTTGAACTGCGGTCAACTATGTGGGAGTCCAGCGACATAGCCATTACACTAACTGCTGGTCCCTAAAGAATTTTTTAAAATTTATTTATTTTAATTTGACCAGGGAGAGGAAGAGAGAGAGCAAGCGAGCAAGCAAGCCACCAGGTCCGGAACTCAAACCGCGGTCAGCCATGTGGGAGTCCAGCATCCTTAACCACCACACCACCTATCAGCCCCAAAGAAATGTTTTTAGTAAAAGTCTAGCATTGATGGGACCAACAGATGGCATAGTGGTTATGTGACTGGACTCACACATGGCCAACCATGGTTCGAGTCCAAGACCCAGTGGCTTGAAACTCAGGCCAGGTGTGTGTATGAGCGTGTCCAAGATCGTGGAAGGGACTGTGAAGTGGCTATCCCCCTAAAGGGTGAATTCTC